AGGGCCTCGGTCGTCATCGGCGCCTCCTGATATGCGTGGCCACTGCGCTCTGCCAGACGGAAAAGGTATTGGGTGATAGGGGCACCTGCCCCCATGCAAGTGTTCATGTACACTGCGAGAACTTGTAGCGTGCAGGTGAGGGGATCACGATCTGGACGCAGCATCATCGCAGGAGCACGCTGACCCTTGTACGTCTTGGTATTTAACTCTTCAATGCGTAGTACAGTGTCGGGAGAAACACTCCCATCGGGCGCTGGTAGGGGTAACGGCCAGCGCTGGTACTCGGTACGACGACCATGCACCATATCCCTGAAATCACTTAACAACAGCTTGCCGACATCATGACCTCGCTGATAAGTCCGCCACATTAAAGCAAAGAGTGACAAGTCCCGAAGCACCAAACTGCGAGCAAACAAATGCTCTTCGTCGCCGGAGGCAATCCACAGATGGCAGGCCAGGCGACGAAACTTCTCCACGGTCAAGGGGATGGCGCTTCACTCCACATAACCGGCGTCACTCAGGTCCCGTCCGTAGCCCTTGACATAGCCTCGCACCAATGAGCTGTCGCAGGGATTCCCGCGACATTGAGAGGCGTCATAGTCCCCTTCCCGGCCCAGCTGCTTAAAGGCAGTCGCAAGGCTCGATATAACCCCTTTTACAGCACTGGCGCTGGGACGCCGGTCTGCCCGCAGACGCCCAGGGTGCCGAGGGAACCACCATTCCACCAGATATGAAACAATGGACATAGGATCGCAGGTGAGCAAGGTGAGCCCGAGAGACTCAACATCCTCTCTTCAAAAAGAGGCAGGGTGCGGGCCTTTGGCGGGTTTGGCGGGTCCCAGTGCTTGAAGCTGCCTGCCCCTCCCTGCCCGTTCAGGTACGTGTACCTATTCCCCCTGCGCCCTACTACACCCCCGCCGGGTACGACAACACGCAAATGCAGCTTTGCTACTGCCCCCGCCACTGCCGCTACTGCCCCCACCACCTCCCTACCTATCGACTCTGCAACCGCCTCCGCCAACCGCCATGAGGGCGATACTCAACCGGTCGGGGGAGGGGGAGGGGGAGGGGAAAACCCCAACCCCACACCTTCATCCCCCGGCCAGCAGCACCCGGACGCCCCAGTGCTGCGCCCCGAGGTGTATTCCGGTGAACCGGACCCTGAACTGCTGGGCCTTATGCTGTCACGACTCCAGGGGAGACCAATGGACTTTATGGCATGTGCACGAGACACGCCTCCAGGTACATGTGTATGAGTGAGGGGGGTGGTTGAGGTGGGGGTTAGGGTGGGGTGAGGTGGGGCGGGAGTGGAGGAAGGCATTTCCTCGGGCACGCAAACGAACGACTCCCCCGGCGCGCTTTCCGATGTTGCTGGTGGGTCCAAACACACACCGTGTGTTTATTGCCCCCTCCGATCTGTCCGATCATGTCCCGTTAGTCAGGAGGAGGAGGAGGACACTCCCACCCACCACTCACGCCATCATCTCGCCGCCGCCGCCGCATCCACCGTGAACTTGCTTTGGACTCATGGGGCAGTTGGTGGTTGGACTTCTGTACCCCTCAGACAGGCTCCCCCCCACAATCTCCTCCTAGTCCCCGCTCCCCGCCTCCCCCGCTGCCGGACGACGGACCTGGCTTTGGATGCCGTCGAGACATTTCTTCTTTGTTCCCGTTGTGTCCCCCCATTCCATCCCAACCCTGACACCAGCACCCCCCACGTTACCCCCCAACCCCTTTCCTGCTCCCAGGCAAGGACGGTACTTGCACATTGTACCTGTGCCGGTGTGCAGTGGTGGAGCTGCCGTACCTGCAGCCTGCCCTCTACCCCGCCGCCGCCAATCAGACCTCCCCCTCCGCATCCATGCGCTCGCCTGCCGCGTCTTCCGAACCACAACAAGCGCAACAAGAGCACCAGCAGCACCAGCTGCTGCAGGCCGCGGCCACGCCGGCGGCGATGGCGGAGCAACAAAATCCGGAGCCACGGGGGGGGTTGGGAGCCGCCGCCGCCGCCACCGCCGCCGCCGCCACCAGCAGCAGCATCCGCGACCCCGTTCGGGCCGTGTGCATTGAGCTGGTTGGCAACCGCTTCCTGCGCCGTATGGTCAGGGTTTTAGTGAGTACGGCGCTGCGGGAAGCCACCCCTGGAGCTGGGCGCTGCTCGGGCCGCGAGACAGCTCTGTTGGAGTGTCTGTTGGAGGGGCGGGAGGCCACCGCTATGGGGGCGCCTGCGGTCGGTCTGTGCTTCGCCGGGGCGGGGTATCCGAAAGGGCTGGAAGGGGAGTGGACGGAGGAGGGGGGATAGATGGGGGGAGGAGAGGGAGGAAGAGGGAGGGGGGATGCGTCCGCGTCTGGAAGTCACGGAGCATCGTTCGGTTGTGTGCGAGCCGGTGTGTATTGATGTGCAGCTCCTGAGGCTAGACTTGCCGTTGACTTCATGTTGAGGAGATGCCGGCGGCGGTGATGGTGGTGATCTTCTCAGTTCATGGGTGCAGTGATAGCTTGCGTGCTTGTACGGCGGGTTTATTGGCGAAATATGGGTTGGGGGGGGGGAGTAAAGAATGAGCAGCGGGCGGTATCACGGCAAAGAGTTTCATGGTCTGTTGTGATCATGTACTGGAAGGAGTGCAACAGAGCGGCTTGGATGCGTCACCAATACAAGTTACAAGTTCTGCACACAAGTGCGGGTGTGTCCGTAAAAGCCGGGGGGGCCATGGAATAGGGAGCATGTATCGATATTGGATATCCCGCTGTGTGGGAAGCTTTGTGGCAAAGCCGGTGCTGCGGATGCCCTGTGTCACCATGTGCTTAGGGGCGATGGCTACGGATGGCCCCTGCGGTCCCCAGAGCTGAGAGCTGAGGGCCACTGATCCATCCCGCCGTACATCGGAGTGTACGACCACACTCCAGTGGGTGTTTTGCTCCTTTTGCCACAATAATATTACCAACTGATATATATCCTTTATGTAATTGTATCATTCTACTTCGATAAAGCGTTGCTTATCGGCCAGAACTCTAGAAGTCATTGCACGGTGTATGATTGTACGGTGTATGAGATGCGATGTGGAATAAGAATCCAACAGCGTCGGGAGTAATGAACATGTTCGCGCAGGTTGGTTGCGCTTAGGTCCTCCAGCTGCACCCGAATCATCTATCTTAAAGGAGAGTTCTCCAGCACCTCCCGCAACTGCTCCAACCCTTCACTCAGGTCGAAAGAGGTTCAGATTCATCCCCCAGGATCGAAGGTTTGGAGTGAACCTGGCATGTTTGAAGCAAGGGGCTGTAGGAAGAGCTGCATCACGGTGTGTGTAGGGGGGGTGCTTCAAGGGAGAGTGCCTGGAGGTCACGTGCCATTTCGACCACGTGCACACACTGGCGGATGTGCAAGCAGCATTGTATCGGGTGGCGATGTGCGGTTGTGTTAATTGCAACACGGAGTTGAAGTGGAGAGGAGGTGTGTGTGCAGTTACGATAGTCATGGGAATCCTGTCACGAGCAATCAAGTGGCACTGCAATCAAGTGGCACTGCTAATTTCTCACACGGAGCGTGTATTGTTATTCGTGATCCACTGCGATCCAGTGTTTGGATTCTTGGAGACGCTGATCCACTGGCGTACGGGCACGGGCGAGGGACCTCCGGGCGCACTGTGTCGCTCACTAACCGACAACCGAAACTGCCATCCTTGGAAAAGGCCATTCACCCGGAAAAACCCGACAGGATAATGCGGCCCAAGTTCCGAAATTACTTTAACCTAGTGCAGTAAGGCAGTTGCTGGCCTCAAAATGGCTCCATGTGACTGGACTGGCCAAGCTGTTCCGTAAATGTCGCCCACCGTGAGAAGTGAAAGCCTGTCAGCAATTGCAGCCCGTCTTTTAATATGATGTTAGATATTATGACTCCATTTTGGTGATGCGCCGCGGCCGCGGGTGCTCCAGAACGTCGGCTTCACCTCAGCACGGGGATATGGCAAAGGATGAGCCCTCCTACCAATAACAAATTTGATACATAATGTAATCATATATCACAATCAAAACCGAAGTGCACAAAGGAGCACAAGGTCACGGCAACCGATCAGTGGCCCAGCCCTCCGCTCTAGTGGTCCCCACTTGACCAGTTGAGCGTAACACCTCAGCATGTGTCATGAACAATGTAAACATTTATCTTGCACACCACACAACGTAGATATGTTTGGTAGCAGATTTTTAGTTCTCGGTTGGCTACTTGTACCAGGGAAGACGAAACGTCGAAATCGTCCTGTGGCCCTGTGAGGATCATAGCGCATGTCGTGGATAAGCAGTAGGCCGCGAAGTATTCAATCTTGTACGTGGCATTTGGGAAGCTGATGCAATTGCCAACATGTCTGCGTTAAGCATGCATCTCATCATGCGAAGCAGCTTAAACTAACGCTCTTCTGAATTACTAAAGATAATGTTGCGGAATCATACGTGATATTCTGTAAAAAGGAGTCTTGGTTTCGGTTCCACCGCCAAGAACAAACCCTCTTTTCTCACAGACACAAATTGCATCAGAGCCTCGACATATCTTACGTGTTATATTCTGCATTTTATTTTCCAATCGATATTTTAGTAAGGCAGAGGTCTTGTGCTTCAACGATAGCCTACTCTCGTCTGCGAGCTGCATTTCGATTCTATCACTAGGAGGCTTGTAAGCCAGCCAACTTAATGAAACGCCTCAAAGGGGCCTTTTCCGCATACTAGGGTGGTTTGCCAGGGACCTCGGCAGGCCTGAGTTACGTGGAGCAATGCTGTCTCAGGCCCCGACTCAGCTTCTGCCATGTTCCATACAGCTAGGTGCCAGCCATGCAAGTATAGGTATGTCAACTCTTTGGATTATCGCTGCTGCGCTCGAGTCCTCACGTCGGCATGCGGTTGGGACGCAGTTGCTTGGCCGGAACTCCCTGTCAGAGGCCTTATCCAGAGGTTTCTATCAAACTGTGGACTGGATATGGATCCTGACGCCGTGGAGCTGCACCTGGACCGGTACCTTCTCCCACCAACAAGCAGGTTTGGAGCGGTTGTGACCCGATGGCACCGACCTGTCGGTGCGCACGATGTCGTGCGTCTCAAGGCCCTAGTTCACAGGTAAGTGCTCCACGTGTATCGTACACATCCTAAGGGGCAGCCGCTCACTCTTCAACGAAATGCTGACGCCACATCCACATCCACCCGGCTTGGCAGCGTTCCTGCACCTCTTCCCGCTGACCAACATCTCCGCAAGTGCCCTCCGGCCCGCCCGCCGGCGTTCCTGCACCTCCTTCTCCCAACTAAACACAAGCACCTTCCAAATCGCCGTGTATCCATCCCCTGGTGGTGGCCTGTCAGGCACGCACCGGGCAAGGCTCGCGCCAAGTTGGATGCCCGCGGCCCTCCGCGGCACACCGTGCGCCAAGTCGCCGGGCGCGCTGTCGCAGCTATGGCCACGTCAGCGGGTCCGACGCGGCTGCAAAGCATCGTCAGCGCTGCGGCTGAGATGAGTCTGCTGCCTTACACCTTTACCAACTGGACGGAAGCCTGGGACCACAGCCTGATGAAGGTAAAAAAAAAGGCGCAGGAGCACTGCGTATTAGCCAAGCCGCGACTGTGCATAACCGTGTGTATGGGTATGGGTGGATTTTCCCGAGGACCCTGGGGGTCTGTGAGGGTTTCCTTTCGTCTCTCACCTCAACTGGATCGGACTGGACGCGACCTTTGCGGTATACCGGCAACTCGATTCATCGGCGTTGACCACCACCACTGGCGCGACGGGGAGGGGGCGCGATGGGGAGGGGGCGCGACGGGGGGTTGGGTGGGGAAGACGAACCATGAACGAGTTGAAGGTGGGGTTAAGGGTGGGGGAAGAATGGGCTGGGGCGCCCGACGTGTTTTACCCCTCCCCGGATCGACAGCGCCCTGCCGATCCGTGTCAGCTACCAAAGCTCCACGGCATCCTGACGCCGGCCGCCGGCAGGACGCTGTGTTTTGTCCCACCCACCGGTGGCGCTGGCAGGATACAGCAGCCGCCTGCCCACGTAGGCCGAATCACCGGCTGCTCCCACCCTGTACCTAGATATATGTATGTGTATATATGTATATATATATGTATATATACATATATGTATGGGCGCATATCCCATTCCCATGCAATATCGCCCGCATAAATATGGGCGATATCCCCTTCCCATGCAATATCTCCTCCCCCGCGCACAGGTGGCCGTCCTGCTGTTCCGAACGCTGCTACCGGACAGGCCCAGCGCCGCCAGCTCCCTCATGCAGGCCTGCTCCGACCTGCTTGACTTGCCCTCCGACTTCGCGCCGTGCGGCAGCCTGTACCGGGGCCTCTGCACCCTGCAGCTACACGTCAATCTGCTGCAGGCGGCCAACGAGCTGAAGGCAGCTGGGCTCGGAGCGACGGGGGTTCCGGCACCGACCGCGTCCGCCGCACCCGGGCCCGTGTCAACATCCACCGCCGGCCCCCCGACCCCCCCCGAAACAGCACCACGATCAGGGGGGCGTCAGGGGGCGCGCGAGGCGTCTAGCTGCCGATCGAGCTCCAGAAGGGGTGGCGCGGCGGTTAGCAGCAGCAGCTGGGGCAGCCGCGCGACGCTGTGTGGCGGCTGCACCAGCAGCACCAGCACCAGCAGCAGCATCAATAACGGTGGCGGCGGCGGCGGCGGCAGCGGCGGCGGTGTCAAAAGCATCAACAATAGGACCCGGGAGGCTCGTCAGCTTGAGAGCGCCCTGGAGGCGATGAAGCAACTGTTAGACAAGGCCGCTGTGCATGTGGGTATGGTTCTGGAGCAGCTGAGTTACTTCGGAAGCGAGCTCAGCAGCATACTGGATAGCTACCTCCCGCCGCCGGTGCCAGTGGAGCCGCTACTGCTGCCGGGGGCCCCCGGTGCTTCCGGCGGTGGGGTCAGCGGCGGCGGCGGCGGGGGCGGGGGCGGTGCGGCAGCTGCTCGGGTGTCTGGGGGGCCCTGCGGCGCTGCGGCAGCGCCCTGTGGTGGTGGTCGGGACCTGCGACTGCAGGTCGCAGAGCTGCTGGAGCCGTATGCTGCCATGCAGCTGTTGGTGGGTGTGTGGCAAGGGGAAAAGGGGGCTTCACCTTTCCAGGGCCTTGAGGAGTCCTTTCGGGGCATTGAAGCGGGGTAGGGGTAGGGAGGGGGGGAGGCTCCAAAAGGACGCTTTTACGGGTGTTGCGGTGTGGGTTTCCCTCATCTCGAGGCTTTAATTGGGAATTTGGTTTCTCTGGCTGGCTGGCTGGCTGGCTGGCTGGCTGGCTGGCTGGCTGGCTGGCAAGCGGCCCTGCGTCAGAGGGCTCCGCCGCCGTCTTTAGACAGCAAATCGGCTCTTCCGTGTTGTTGTCTTTGTTGCTGATATTGATGTATTTCGGTACCTCCTCCTCCTACACACACCCAGACCCGCCAGCGGAGGAGGTACCGCCGTAGGGAAACAACAACAGCTGCAAACTGTGTGGCCAAACACCGCACTGCCGGCAGTACTGGCATACTCAGCATATGCAGTACTGGCATACTCAGCATATGCATGTTCTGCAATTGGTTTGCGGCACTACCCCCCTCCGCAGCAGCTTCACTCGTTCGTGGTTCGTCTTTTCCCCCTCCGCCCTTCCCCCCAAAACCCGGTTATGCAAAACTGTAGGAGGCTTTCGGGCGCATGGCAGTGGCGGGTTACCCCACCGGCGCGCCTCCGCCGCTGCTCCCTACCGGCACCCTGCCGGCCGGCTGGGACTGCCACCGCAGCCTCTTCCACGCAGTCCTGGATCTGGCCGCACAGGCAGGTGTCCGAATTGGCCCCCCGGAGTGGGCCGCGGCTGGAAGCAGCAGCAGCGGCGGCGGCGGCGGCGGTGCGGAGGAAGGCTTGCTGCCGAGCCACGGGTGGCCGGGGACGCCTGGCGGCGGCGGCGGCGGCGGCCCCACCCCCACCCTGGAGTTGCCGCTAGTCGCCAGCATGCTGGATGCGTTGCTGCAGCTGCACGTGCAGGCGCACTCCCAGTGCGGTGGCGGCGGCGGCGGCGGCGGAGGTGGTGGCAACAGGTCGGGAGGAGGTGGGTGTGGAGGCAACGCCGCGGTCCCCGGGGGTGGGGTGGGGGGGGTGGGGTGCATCCACGCACGGTGGTTTCTCTTGGCAGCGTGATCCATGTCTGTTTTGCAGTACAAACAAACAACTTGAGTATAAACCCGGTTTATGGGGAAGGAGTTTCGAAAATAGGTTGTGGAAGGGCGCTCTGGGGATCTGAGTGCACAAACATACTTACATACAGATAGATTGAGAGAGAGGGACAGGCATAGAGATATGCCTAGGTCAGGCACTACTGGTAAAGCACATACCGGCGCCCCCGGGGGTCCCGGAGGTTCCGGGATCGAGACCTGTCAGGGTCGAAAACCCTTCCGATGGTGGAAGGTACAAGTGTCCCTAGTCGATGGACGGTGGTGACCTGGGATAAAGTTAACCTGCGAGCCGACCAGGAATGGAGTTGGGCCGCTGTCGATCCGGCAGATTCCGTTGGATGCTGGTGGTGGGTGCGGAACCTGAGCGATCCACTGAGAAGTTGGCTAGGGTGACTGGATGAGGGTGTGCCCCGAAATACCGGGGAAGGCAGGGTTTCGCCGGGTAGCGGCCGCAGGGTGAAGATATGACCCCCTGTCCCATACATACATACATACATACATACATACGTGCATACGTACATACATACGTACATACGTGCATACGTACATACGTACCACGCAATACACGCAACACGTCAAGAGAGCGCAGCGTTTTGTCGACAACAAAGAGCTCGTTGTCGTCGTCGTCATTGTTGTTGTCGTGCTCTCCCCCACCCCCCCGGGGTGAAGCTCGAGGAGGATCTGTCGCGCGAGCGGGGGCCGGGCCGATATTGGCTCCTCCTAAACTTCTTGACCCAGCTTGTGTCCCCGTTTCCGTGTGCCGCTGTCCGCTGTCTGAGCTAACTGTTTCCGAACCGCCCTGCAATGGTGTACCGCAGCCAGCGGCGGCGGCGGCGGCGGCGGCGGCGATGACAGCGACGACAGCAGCAGCGACGGAGGCACCCCCAGCTGTCCCCGGAGCCCCGCGGTCTACCCGCTGCCCCCCTGCCTAGACTGGCTTCAGGACGTGACATCCGTACTGGCGGCGGTGTGTGACGTGTACGCGCTGGCTGGCGGTGGCATGGACATAGACGCGGAGGCGGAGGCGGACTTGTCGCCAGTGGCGGCGGCTGCTGCACCGGCCTCCGCGGCGGCCGACGGAGGCGGTGGCCTGGCAGCGGCGGCGGCGGCGGCAGCGGCGTTGCCGATTAGTGCCATGGCGTCGGCTACGGTGGCTGCCGCCGTTGGCGCCTCCGCGATAGCCGCGGTGGCGACGGTGGAGTCGACGCGGCTTGGTGGCGTGGCGGGCCCATCCGCCGCCGCCGCCGCCGGCGGCGGCTCATCCCTGACATGGGTTGACAGCGACGCCGCTGCCACATCGCCCTTGACCTCTTCTCCGGGGCCCTCCGCGCCAAGGACACCGCAACCCGGAGGCAGCGGCGGCGCGGGCTGTAGCACCCCCGTCGAGCAATTCTTGGACCTTGGAAACTGTGGCAGCGGCGATGTTGCAGGGAGGGTCTTGTCGCAGGCCGACGGGGACGTCCCGTCAGAGCAACTGCTTCCCAAGGCCGCAGCTACAGCCGATGGGCCGCCAGAAGAGGATGAGGAAGATGACGACCGGGCATTTACGCCAGCAGCTACGCCGCAGCTGGCTGCGCCGCCGGCCGTCGCCGTCGCGGCCGCTGGCTCGGGACTCAAAGCCGGCGCAGCGATCGCGACGCCAGGTCCAGCCCCTGCTGCCGCTGTTGCGGCGGCTGCGGCGGCCGCCGCCGCTGGCGCCCCGCCCACTCTGCTGTCGGCCCGGTTGAT